ACTACACCAAACAAACAGACCCCCTGAGCAGATTAAAAAAACCCCATTAAGTGCAGACATCAATCTACAGCTTGTTACCTTTCCTAGCCTAGGAAACCTGAGAAAGGCAAAGCTGTGCAGCTGTGGGAACTGCAGCACCTGCCAGAGATATATACACTCTGCCCAGCAGGTTAGAAATCAACTTCTGCATACTTGAACTTTACTGCCCTTGGCCAGGCAAAATGAAGGGGGAGCAAAGCTGGGAGGACCTGTCTCAGCACACCAGCCTGAGGGAGTTGTCCAAAGATGAGTAGTAAGTGTGTGAGCACCCACCCTTGGTTGAGGCTGCTCTGCAGAGTCCTGTTGGATGTCTAACAGACTGCAGGACCAGTGACACTTGATCTCATCCCCTGTAAGCTGACACAGCTCTGTCAGTGGACTGTGCAGGCATGGGAAGGATTCACAGAGCTTGCCTGGCCCCAGAGAGTCCCCAGGGCATCCTTAGAAAGCCCCTTAATTTATACTGCTCGTGGGAAAAGGCATCAGCATCTAACAGACTTCCTCACATGATGAGATCTGTCAATTATCTAGAAACTAATGCCAAATACAATATAATTGAGAATGTAAATGTGAGGACAAGGATACACAAAATTTTACAAGCAGGCTTGAAGTCTAATTGAGGATCCAGGGCAGAAATGTAAGGAAATTTCATTGTACTGTGTAGTGCACAACCAGTATTTAGAAGAGGTGGGAGGTGGGGGCAATCACATCAAATCATCTAGTCAGAATGACCAGATTATATTTAATGACTAAGATGTAAATTTAATCATGTACTTGTAAACTGCTGCTACTTGTACGTTTGGCTTGTTTTAACCTGTGAGGATAATCTGAATACTGAGCACTAATACCTGGAATGCCACATTCATTCTTACTATACAGCCATAACTTAATATTAATCCCAACAGGAAATAAAGGATCCTTTTTATTTTTTAAAATGTCAAAGGCAAGAAAAATTCCTAAGAAAATCTTCAGTGTTAAGTGTCATCACCTGGCTGGTTATCTAAAACTTTAGAGCCACCAGAACAGGGAGAGGCCCAGAGACAGCCCTGCAGTGTGGATAGCACTCAACTTTCTAACTTTATCTAATGGTGGAGGCTGCTTTTCTTTAAAGCTGAAAACCAGAGCTGCTATCTACAGGGACCCTACCCCTCCCCAGTTTGGCATCTTTAAATGGTACCTGAAACACTGCTGTCCAGGCTGTCTCACAGCTAGCCCCTGTGTGTTCTGTCACCAAGTCTCCTGTTCTGAGTGGTTTTTTCAAAGCTGTTAATTTTATGTCTTGAAATCCCTAACCAGGCCAATACCTGGCTGCCACAGAGCTCTGTGCCACTACCTGGTGTCCCAGTGAAGGAAACTGGTTGGAGATAACTTCAGACATTGGTTTGGAATCCTTCAGCCTGACACAAAACCAGATACACCAAGTCCAGGAGGTGCAGGCCAAAGGATAGACTGTGGGATACCAGTGCTGTTCAGGAAATGACTTGAGATGAATTAGCAAAGTAATATGTTTTCACTGTATCCTGTGCCTGCCCTTGCCTTGAGGGTGGGATGCAGGATCTGCATCCTGGGAACACTTGTGCTGCAGAAAATCCCAGGTGGATGTTACAGCCATTTGACCTGCTTACAAATAAAATGGTAAGGCTGAACAATTACAAAGGAGCCATCACAACTCTGCTGTCCTATGCTAACTGCTCACTCTGAATCACATCTTTACCTTCTTGGTTTGATTTTTTATAGAGCTGGGATACACTAGCATAACCATTCCTGCATTTTCTGATGTGAAAATTTTCATCTTGGCCTCCTGAAGCCTTGATCCAAAAGCTTTTCATATTTATCCCAGAAATCAAGATTTTTATGTAAGCAGCAGTGAGGGATTTCGTTTGCATATATAAATGTGTAATAGCCTCACTCCTCTGGCTGCTCGTGGCAAAGTGAATCTGTGACATGGGTTATATTCTCTCAGCTAAAGGCAAAGGCATAAGTTAACTGACAATGAATTATCCTATTGTAGAGCCTGCAGGATGGGGATTATCACTGCTAACACACTGTCTTATCCTGCACGAAGTACACAGAGCAAACTTCTTTGAAAGATTTGGAACACAGGCAAGAGATAATATGTACATTCATTAGGTGGCATCTCAAAGCCCAGAGTATGTGTGTGTGTGTGTAGTATCTCATGCATTTCAATAGGAATTTTGCCTGCAGGAGAAGTAAACTCATGCAAATGCTGTTAAATTCTTTGAATAGACCAAACATCTAAGAGGATTCAGGAGTGGCACACAGACATCTTAAAGACATCTCACTGGATTCCAACCCAGAGTAAATAATTGTTGGCCTTTCCAGTGACAAGAATACAAAGACTGTGATCTAAAAAAAGAAACAGAATAGGGACAAAACTGTAGTTTCATCTGACAAAGCAAATCTCTTCACCAGACTGTAATCTTAAAAGTCTGGAAGAATTGAAATATGCCACCATTCTGGAGTTTACATACCAAAATCAATCCTGTTTAGTACCTTAGGTCTTCATCTAAACCTCTTTGGACAGAGGATGAAAGACTTGACCCTGCGAGAAGGATTTCCTCATACATGAGGAAAAAAATCCTGATTTTACAAATTAAACACTTCTAGGCCTGAGTTATTCTTGATGGCTATATGTGGATAATTTGCTGAAAAATTAGGACAATAAATCACTGTGTTGTTTTTCCTTACTCCTTTTGATTGAATCACGCTGTCAGTGCTCAAAAGGGATTTCAAGATTAGTTTCTTCCACTAGGCAACCCTTCTTAACGTACCCACGAGCTTGGTATTGTCTAGCTTACCTCTGCACACTTTGAGGTCTGATCTGACTAAAAGACTGTGATGAGTAGGTCTTCAGTGAATGAAATCAGTGAGTTGTGGCTGAAGTCTGGCCAATCCCATCTTACTTACAAAACTCTTCTATTTCTGGCTTTGGTGTGCTATTTGTGGGTAGGAAGCCACAAAAACTGGCTTGTGTTGTGATGCAGAGAAACTTGCTCGCAGAAATTCTGTCTTAAAAAACAAATAGGAAAACACTGTTTCTATGAAATAAGATGAATGAGACTCCCCAGAAACAAAAGGACCTGCAACTTCGCCCAAATGGCCATAGTATTTAAAAGAGAATGCCCTGAAGAGCAATGCTGCTTGATTTGCTCCTTTGGTCCATGCTACAGCTTCAAGAGAAACATTTTTTACATCTAATATCACCACTTTTTCTTTTGAGCCCATTACCTTTTCTAATGGTAAGTCCAAAATAACATTTTGCTTCCAAAAATAAAATAGTTATATAAAATTTTCATAAATTAGCGCTTGAAAAGAAAAAAAAAGAACAATGTGTACTGAAGTCCTTACTCAGTGTCCTTGGCATTGCTTTGTGATTTTTTTCAAAGCTCTTAACATGGCATTCTCTGCATGACATCTTCCAATAATTCTCTAGAGAAGTACCAACTTCCTATGTTTATCAATAAAGCAGCTCTATTCAGGAAGGTAGTTGCTGAGGTAATAGGCAATGAGGAATTCTGTATCATGGTTGACAACTAAGGCAGAGAGAAAGCAAGGAAAACAGTGTTTGTACAAATTTTAGAGCATACTGAACACCTTACAGACTTCCTGCTGTTTACCTGCATTTTTCCTCCCTGTGTCTGTCATGACTAATTAGCTTCATATCCCTTGGGTAATATCATGCTAATTAAATATTAGAAACCATGGGGAAAAGTGGCAAGAGTTTTTTTTTTTTTCATTGTTATGCAATTTAACAGTAAGTGACAAGCACCAACCTTCCATCATCATAGCCAAACACTGTAGGATTTTCTTGTGACATTCCCAACCATAAATCCTAGTGTGCTATGCAAAGACCAGTTCAGTAAAATCCAATGAATGATACCACAACTGAATGCTTACAGGCAGCACTAAAAAGGGAAGCACCAAATACAGAATTTAGGAAGTTTCTTCAAAGAGCTAGGAGACAATTTGTAACTAAACAAGTTTTATTGACTTCTTTTTTTTTTTTCAAAATAAAAAACACAAAATAACCACCAAGATTAAAGGCCATAGACAGCATTAACCAAATGAACCAGCCACTTGGTTATAGTAGCTGATAACTAGAATAACTGGATATTATTGCATATACCTCAGGTTCATTTAGATATCCATTACAGTTTGGCAAGATTACAATCATACAGTAGCTTTGGTTGTGTAAAACCTAGTGGCAATACTTACTTAAAATGTGACTGGTTAACATTTTATGACAACAGCTATTTATCTCATCTTAGTCTTGACGTGTCTTCTCACATTCGATGTTCTCCTCCACGCTGCACATTGTCACTGATCAAGAATTAAGGAGACATATTTGCAACCATCATTTATAGCCCTTCTTTATCACCTTCTGGTGATGAATCTCAAAGGGGTAGGAATCTCTTGCTTTCCTTATAAAAGTTTGTAGAGCAGCATCTCTTTCCATGCTGGGTGGCTTCTACCACTCTATGGTAGTACTGCCAAGTTAGTCCATTCAGAATGCAAACATGTAGAGGTGTATATGGCTTTCAGGCCAAAGCCTTTCCTGACCTACAGTGCTGAGGTGTGACTGTACTGCCTTGCCTTTGGATACAGAAAAAAATCACAAACAAACAGCTTTTCACATTGGTATGCTGAACTGCCAGCACAAAACAGTACTAACAAACCTAACACACAATACTACCTTGGTTACAGAGTTGTGCCTGAGACACTGCACAGGATTGCATGTTTATGTTCTACAGTCTATGTATTTTAGTTTTGGTCTTTTAGAAATGCTCTCATTCTTATGTAATCTAGTGTAACACTGCAGCTTTAGAGTAATGGTTGATAAAAAGTCATAAACACACAGGAACACTGGGAGCTTTTTCTTTTTGTGCACCATTTGTGCAGAATTCTGCCTTTCTGCTATCAGTTTGCCCCCAGTATTCTGGGAATATCTACTTCCAGGGGGAATATATCACCTACTTTAAAATAATCTAAAATTTTGATTTCTACCTGGGAAAAGCTATAAAAGAATTTGGATCAAACTGAAGTAATGTTGTGTGTGAAGATCCTTCTTCACTTACAAAATGCTGCAACACTAGATAACATCTACCTGTTTTTGCAGCCCTTTCATTTGCTTGCACTGAAGCAAAGAGGAGTTCAGCATGAGGAATGGCTGCATGGTTAAGATCCTGCAGAACAAGGTAACTGCCATGCAGTAATTCAAATGCAAGCAGTGCAACTGCTTTTTGCATTCAGATCCATACTTGAATAAGGATATAAATTAATAAGCCCTTCTAAATGCTTTTAGAAATATCCTCTTTGATCTAGACATATAAAACCTCTGAATACTTAGAATCACTAGATTTCACATGGCCCACATAGTCATAATTATTTGCACTTACATGGCAAATATTAGAAATACATTTGCCTACAGTTGAACAGGTAATTATACTGCCTATGATTCAGCTGAGCAAAGATCAAGCACTCTATATCTTGCAGTTATTGGATCTTATTCTAACCCTTTACTTTAGAAAGGGGAAATAGCCATCTAATTATATTACCAGTGCACAGTATTTAGTTTAAAAAAAGACAACCTATAGGAGGCAACTAGATTTTTTCCCTAAGATGACCTTTTATGAGATACTCTAAAAGCAGTCTCTTACGACTGAAGATTGTCTATTTCACTGTACTCACATAGTAAAAATAGTTAAAATCTAATTATAAAGCTGCTACATGGTTATTTTGTGGTCTGTAAAACAAAACAGTACCCAGAATTTTATCTGAACAAAATACACCAGACAGTATAAAAATATTTCCCAATTGGAGATTGAAACATTAATGCTGGATTTGGTTTTTTTTTATATAAAAAGAAAAGTATTAATGGTTGACATTTACCTGCTTACCAGTCAAAAATATATATATGACTTCGAGGAGCTGTTCCAGGCTCACTCTTAGTGAGCTTGTGCTTTTGACCCTAGCAGTAATAAATGCACGCTTGGAGCACAGTTTCCTGAAAACCTGAACTACATCTTATTTCTAACAATAAGACTAATTTCTGGCTGTGGATTTCTTCAGGCAACTACAGCAGAGGAATTCCAGAAGCACCACTTCCGCTTTGAATGATGTTTGTTCAGTGCAACATCTTCCTTTTCTCTTTCTTTTTTAACTCGCTGGTAGTGATCTTCTTCCTTTAAGTACCACACAGGTGGCCACCGATGCCTCTCAAAATATTCTTGATTATCTGATTGAAAAGAAACAATGAAAAAGTCTCCAAACAAGCCAGGAAGATACACAAATCCCCAAAATATCAAACAAAAAGCTATACAGAAAATCATTAATCCAGTCTCTGTGTTGTCTGGCTTATCAAGGATTCACCCAGTCTCCTCAAATCCCTTCCTTACAGCATGAAAAGACTCTGGAAGTGGCTGCACTCGAGAAGCCTTAGTCCACCAAAAACTATAAAAAAGCACAACCTTTCCAGATTTAATTTTACATTGTGGAGCCTGAAAATAGCTGTGTTCCTTTTAGCATCACTGAAGTAGGTAAAGAACACAATGCTTGCCCAGCAATCAGGCTAATTAGTATGACCTTTCTTTACAGAGAATAATTTATGAATGCTATTCAAGACAGTGCAGAGGTTCAGTCTCATGGCTTAGCTGTCTGAGCTCATCTTTGCCTTCATGTTTAATCTACTGTGTGGAGAGAAAGAAGGGGAAACATCATGAAAACTAGGGGAGAAGTTGCCCATACCTGAAGATTTAGCTTTGATTTCCTTCCGGAATTTGGAGCAAACACTGTTGTAATTGGTGCAGATGTAGTGCAAGCACCAAGCTGCCAGCTGGTTAGCATTGTGGAACTGTGAAGAAAAGCAAAGAGCTTATTCCATTTCCTGAGGTTATCATTAATTTTGCAGTCCCTATTAACAGCTAAAGCTAGAATGGTCCTCAGCAGACCCTACCTGGCAGTGCTCTCCTGAGCATATGGGGTAGCTCTTGAGGCTGAAGTGGCCTCTAGGTGCCCTAGACCTTGGCACTCAATTCTGCTAGAACAACCAGTGACCCCAAAGGCTCATGAATAGGTGCTTAACATGCCCAGCATCTGGCAAACTGTGTTCAGTCCCACACACAATCTGAACCCAAGGCATGCCGGACCTGAAATTCCTGGTGTGATTGTACCAGTCATGTGTTGCTCACTGCAAACCCTGCTCTGAAGTAATTCCCTGGAAAACTATGCTTGTGGACAGAAATCAAACATACTGAAAGCTCAGGACAGAATCTAGTCCAAGCTTCCTATAGTCATAAGCAAGCACAGCTATAATGCAAGTCAAATTGTACAGCCTGCGTATGGATTTTGGCATTCTGACTGTCTGCTAGGATCTCTTTGGGTTATAAACACATCATATTGAGGTAGGTACTGGGCACAGAGGATATTCTAACAGTAGTTAAAGATATTGCTTCTGTCTTCAACCAGGAGAAAAGGAAAAAAAAAGAAAAATCACTATTTGTAAAATCAAAATGAAGTGAAGCAAGCAGCTTCCTCTTGGGAAGGGTTCAGTCCTGGTTTTGCAGCAGGGTTATAGGTATTGCAAGAGAGGCACTCGAAAACACCTGCAGGAAATCTTATGTGATGGCCAGCTTGTGCACTACTTCAGTGCTACTTAAACCCCAGACTTCAAGCCAAGATGCAGCTGACTAATTATTAGTGTGAAATCAAGAATAATAAAACTGTAAAAATATTCTAGCTTGTTTGCCTGTATCTGGGAGTCTGCTGCAGCACTCCATCTGGAAAACAGAGGTGTGCAGTTTCACTGTGAGTTGGAGGCTCTCTCAGTGATTTCTGGCACTCAAGAATCATTGAAGTGCAATTGAACATAAAGAAGACTTGAACTCACTCTGAATTATTAATGATTGAGTTTGAGTGGTCAAAGTATTCAAAAAATGTTGCCTTTGCAAAACAGGTCTAAATATGTCTACGAGCAATGAATTGAAAGGAACCTAAGAATCAGTCACCATTACAAAGCAGAACAGCTCCATCACATTGCTTTTCATGTTACTGAACCATGGCCATGAGGACATGGAGCTTGGAAGTTCCACAATCAAGAACAACTGAAATATATATTTGAAAGAAAACTCCTCTGAGACTACTTAAATGGATGTTTCACCTTCGAACTAATGGAAAAAACATCTTTAAAATAGAAGATTGTACTGCCAGTTGTTCTCAGAACTGCAGACTTGAAGACACTTAGAAGCAATGCTCAGAACCAGAAAGATGCTAAAAGCAAGTCCTGCAGCTGACCAGGATATATTTAATAAACAGTGTACACTGACCTGTGCCAATTCCAAATAGGATAGTACTTCCCCATCTATTGCAATGCCACTCATGGAGGCTTTTGTCAGCTCTTGTACTGCATGCTGCTCTGTTAGAGGAGAAAACACATCACTCACACAGGAAATGGTCACATTTCAAGGTCAGATCACCTACAGGTACCAAAGAACCAAGGCAGAATGTTCTCCCTCCTCCTAGTGTTAACTAGCTTTATGCAATGGTCACATTCACCCAGATATCCTTAGCAATTTCAGCTTTGGGTGAAGTAAAATTCTGACCTCTGTGGCTGAAGGTATAAACTGTCTTGCTCCAGCAGAGCACAGTCCCCATGAGGATTTGCCCCTTTGCCTTAACCCAAACAATTTATTTTGGTTTCACACACAATTCTTATCTCTTTCTGACAGAAAGCAAGCCTGGAGTTAATAACCACTTACAGAAGCTCAAAGCTCAGCAGCCACTAGTCTCTTTCTGGCAGAATGGATGCTACAATATTCAAAACACATGAGAAACATGGATCAGCTGTTTCTTTTCAGTAATACAAATGTTTTAGGCAACAGTGCACTTGCCATTGCAATGAGTACCCACAACACTGATACAGACAAGGTCATTTCAGGCCTTCTTCAGATTTTCAGATTAGGTGTTGCTAGGTATCCAGATGAAGGCTGATCAGCTCCTCCAAAAGTTCAGTTCAACATCCTCCTTAACCCTTTCCTGGAATCTTAGACATTTGAGTGTTTTTGGGGAAACATCAGCTGATTTGATTCTACTGGGTTCAGTTATTGGCTGTAGCCTTTGGATTCAAAATTCTTTCATCAAGAATTAAATGGAACGAACTGTTCTTGATACTGTATGTTTATGCTGCAATTGCTTGAAAAAAAAATAACCAAAACTTCATATAAAATGTGCATATAAAATCAGGCAATAAAGACTTGGTCTGTCAGAAGCAGTGAGGACAAGAGACACAGTCCTGATGCACAACTGAAGGAGAGTTAGGGTTTGGTATGTGATTAAATTTTGTCTAAGTGTTGTCCTGTAGATACATGTAGCTTTGCTTCATCTGTCTCTGAGTTTTGGCCTTGGTTAGGTCTTCAGACCAATGCCAAGTTACATGCATAGAAAGAAACATCATCAACAACAACAAAAGCCAAGCAACCCCAGAGGTCTGGGGTGTGTATGGATTTAATTTTAAAACTTAAGTGGTATTCTATCCTGTAATTTTCTCTAAATACGGGATTTAAAAGGTTTTCTTCCTGAAATGAGGGTCAAATCCCCATCTATATAGCAAAATATCCAATTCCCATCTAGGCAGTGAAAAAGGATCTAGACAGCATTTCTAAAAAAATCCCCTGTCACTACACTACCTTCTGCATTTATCAACTGATGGACACCCTACTCGACCCTCCTTTTGCTCCCAATGTATTTATAAAAACGTTTTTTGTTGTCCTTGACTTTAATGGCCAAATCAAGTTCCAGCTGGGCTTTGGCCCTCCTAATCTTCTCCCTGCATGACCTCTCAGCATCCTTATAGTCTTCCCAACTTGCCTGACTTTCCTTCCAGAGAGGATAAGATTCTTTTTTTTCCCCAAGCTCTATCCTGAGTACTTTGCTTAACCAGGCTGGTCTTCTACCTCAATGACTTGACTTCTTAGACACAAGAACAGCCTGCTCCTGAACAATTCTTTTTTAAAGCACTCCCAGCCTTCCTGAACTTCTTTACCCTTCAGGACTGCCTCCCAAGGAACTCCATCAATCAATGTCCTAAACAAGTCAAAGTCTGCCTGCCAGAAATCCAAGGTGGAAGTTCTGCTGCTGGCTCTCATTACCTCACCCACTATTGAAAACTTTATCATTTCCTGGTCACTATGTCCAAGATGTCCTCTGACCACCACATCCCCCAACAGTCCTTCTGTGTTTCCAAACACCAGGTCTAGCAGAGCACTGTCTCTGGTGGGCTCATTTACCCATTGTGTTAGGAACGTGGTCTTTCACACCTCCTAGACTCATTTCTCTGCTATGTTGTATTTCCAGCAGACATCTGGCAAGTTGAAGTCACCGATAAGTACAAGGGCCAGTGATCATGAGACTTCTGCCAACTGTTTGTAGAAAATCTCATCTGACTGCCCATCCTGGTTGGGTGTTCTATAACAGACTCTCACTGTGACATCTGCCATTTTGACCTTCCCCCTGATCTTCACCCATATGCTCTCAACTTTGTTATTTTCACCATGGTCAATTTGAGTACAGTCAAGGCACTCCTTAATATACATTGCTACCTCATCACCCCTCTTGATATGCCTGTCTCTTCTAAAGAGCTTATTACCATCTATTACAGCATTCCATGAGAGCCATCCCACCACATTTCTGTGATAGCAA